TCGTCGCTTGGAGCCCTTGGGCGGGCGCTTCAGGTCGCATAGCCGTGGAGGGCCATCCAGCTTTCACGTGTGCCTAAGGTGGTAAGGTTCAACTCCTCGAGCCGAATCCCAGAGCCACACTGCTGAACCCGAAACCGCAGCGCAGCACCATAGACCCATCATGCAACCGATGACCCGAATTCTAAACATGCCATAAAGACACCAACAAATTTGATAAGAATTGTAACCCCACATTATGGTGTATCCACTATACCACCCCTAAGTTCGGCCCCTAAGCTCCAGGACTTGAAAACCCAACAAGATCCTCTCTCAAACCTCCCAAACCTCCTGATAAAGCCCTAGACATCCCTAACCCCTAAACCCCTAACCCTAAACTCACCCTAAACCCTGAACCACAAACCCAAAACCCAAAACCCCAAAAACCCTAAACCCACCCTAAACCACAAACCCTAAACCCCAAAACCCCAAAACCCGAAACCCCAAAACCCCAAAACCCCAAAACCCGAAACCCCAAAACCCCAAAACCCGAAACCCGGAACCCCAAAACCCAAAAACCCGAAACCCCTGCATTGTCCAGCCGCCTGCCGTTGGCGTCCGCTTTGAGCATAGAGACGACGTAGGGCCCAACCCAAGCCTGGCTGGTTAGAAGCTAAGGCTAAGGGTTTAGGGTTTAGGGTTTAGGGGTTTAGGGTTTAGGGGGTTTAGGGTTTAGGGTTTTGGGTTTAGGGCCACTTAGAGCGACACTTTGTCTGTTTGGATTTAGGGGATTCGGGCTTCGGAATTTGTAGGGTTGTTAGGGTTTAGGAAGCTTTGGGATTCGGGTGTAGGGTTGACTTGGCCTTTGGGATTCGGGTTTAGGAAGTTTTTGATTTGAACCCCTTGGGTTTAGGGAGTTTAGGGTTTAGGGATTTTATCGTTTAGGGTGTTAGGAAGTTTAGGGTTTAGGGTTCAGGGTTAATTGGGCTGAAGAAAGGCCTGCGTTTTCGCGTTGTTGTCTGTTTCCGGCTCTTTGCACGGCGCTGAGGTCTCCGGTCAGCTGGTTTTTCAGTCATGCCTTAAGGAGTCGGCGGACCTCCTAAACCCCTAAACCCAAACGGTTTAGAGTTTAGGGTTTAGGGTATAGGAATTTAAGAATCCCTCCTAAACCCCTAAATTGAAACCCTAACGGTTCAGAATTCTAAGGGTTTCGGGTATAGAAATTTAAGAACCCCTCATCAAGCGAATGCAGGTTATGTTTTGTGGACTTCCCTTCCTCAGGGCTTAGGATTTTGGAGCTTCTCGGCTTCAAGTCTGGCCATTCTGTTTTGACCCCGTGTTGTCGGAGCCTCGGGTTTTTTCAGCATCTGCGGGTTCAAGGCCATTCTACACTTCTGGGTGTGGTGCTTGTGTGCGTGCGTGCACTGTCGTCGCTCGTGCGCTTGGCATCGCCACAGCTACCTCCTTTTTGGTGTGAGCAGTCGTATAATCCTTCTTAGTCTTAGTGCCGTAGGGTTTCTGTACTGAAATGTATTTGGGAAGCCTTAGAAACACATGAGTACATATATATATATATATACATATATATATATATGTATATTCAGGGTTTGGGGTTTAGGGTTTAGGGTCACTGAATATTCAAACATATTGAGACCCTTCTGAACACTAAGTACATCCGTGTCCGGTGGTTGTTGAGGTCTGTGCAGGGTAGTTCGGGGTCCAAGTGGTTTTCGTTTTCTAAGTGCAACGGTCTGTGTCGAGTTTAGTGGAAAGGGTTTACGGCCCTAAACTCTACACCCTAAACC